GAGAAGAGCTACTGTGTCTTCCGGGTCTGAAAGGTTTCACATTACAGCTCTACAGCCTACTAGCCCAGTGTCTGAGCAAGACATTTAACCTTTTCACATCTCAACTCCCTCATATATAAAACAGGGATCTGATTACCAATATCATAATGCACAGTGAGATTGTTTCTGCAGACAGCTATAAAAAACTAACATTTATTGAGCATTTAGTTACTTTGTGCCAGGTTCTCTGCAAAACAATTTGCCTGCATGAATGCTCATTTAAATGACACAACATTATGAGGTAAGTAACATTTTTTTCCATTTTACAGAGGGGGAAACTGAGGCCCAGAGTAGTTCATTTTCTTGCCCACACCGATAAGAGGGAGGATCCACACATAAGTAGGCCCTTCCAGAACCCAAACTCATAGCCACTCTGTGCTTGCTAGCGTCTGGTTTTAACCTCACTAATTCAACAAATTATATCGAGCAGCAACTCTGAATCACACTGTTCTGGACACCGTTCTGGGTGCTGAGCAAAAACGATGAGGTGTCCACCCTTGTGGAATGAGTGTTCTGCTGGGGGAAACAGACACTGTCTCTCATACCCAGTTGGCTCTGCTAAGCCACACCATCACCCGCCTCTTCTGTTCAAAACCATCTCACTGCTCCCCATCTCCCAGAGTGAAGACCAATGACCTAGCCTCCCCGACCCATTGCCCTTTGCCTCTCTGTCTCATCTCGTCTCTCTCCCCCTCCAGGTCAGCCACTCTCCTTGCAGTTCCTCAGACACACAAGTACATTCCCGCCTCGGGACCTTTGCACCCGCTGTTCCCACTGCCTGGGAACAGCCTGGGATGCTCTTCTTCCCTATACTTGCACGGCTTCTTTTCTCATCCTCAGACCTTAACTGAAGAAAGATTGCAGTAAGGCTTTCCTTGGTGGCTAAAGTCCAGCCCCTCCAGCCTCATATGCATGTGAGAGCTGGATCATGAATAAGGAAGACTGAAGAATTGCCTTTGAATTGTGGTGCCATCAAGTTGGTTCTGACTCATTGTGGCCA